CCCCAAGGCTTTAAATTCACTTCCCATAAAAATTATTAATTCGCTGTCAATATCTCAGTTTAAAACTAGACTAAAAAAATATAGATGTCTATAAATAGAATAAATATAATCAATCTAACTAAGCTATACTCAACCTATTTTTCTTTCGGGCCACATAAATCTGTTTATTTTACACGGGTCACAATATTTTTGGGAGATAACTGGGGTTGCCACCTTTTTGAAATGTAAATAAAGGACAACGGGTAACGATAGGGATCCGGTTTAAATATTTTCTAAAAAAGGGCCTGATGTTGTTTTAATAAGCTTTGAAAAATCGCAAGGACAATTTTTCAAAAAAAGGACTGTATGTCAACCATTAGTTGAGATCTCTAATACATAAAACATAAATGCAAAACAATAAAAAGATTAGCATGATATTTATCGCTTAATGTTTTCGCGCATTTCGCTCAAAATTTTAAAAACAATTAAAAACAAAAAGCCATAGTTTTAAAAAGCACCTTCTTAATAATAGTGTTTGAGGCCGCACAAAAAAACTTGGAGGGCCTCACAAAAAAGCTTAGAGGGCCTCACAAAAAAGCTTAGAGGGCCGCAGGTTGAGTATGGCTGATTTAACGTATTAACAAAATCTAAAAGTTACCCATAAATAAAAATATGATGTGTCCAACACATGACTTTTCTATCTAGTTATTATAGGCTTTTTCCGGTTATTTTGTACAACTTACTGTAGCACCTCTGTAAATGTTTAGAGGATAAACTAAATATATACATTTTCCACATAACTCGAAACATTTTTTTTATATATATTCACTAGCTGACCCGATCCCTCTGCGCTGGAATTTCTCAAATCTCAATTATTAAAAGTGGACAGACAGTTCGTTACTCGACAGAATTTTTTTCATGCGATACCTGACAATTATTTTTATTAACTTTTATTAATTTTTATTACTTTTTATCAATTTTTATTCATTTAATTTTTATTTATTTATTTTTATTCATTTTTACTTATTATTTAGTTTTACGATAATCCCCATTTTCCCCTCCTTAAAATGTGAAAATCCAAACACACCTTGAAACGCGTAATTATTTACTAATAATGAGTAGCTAAAATTTCAATTTTCTACCAATAAAAAACCGAAAGACTCATACAAACGTTCGCCCCCTAATGTCTAATTATTTATGATGAGTAGTTACAATTCCAATTTCCTACCTTTAAAAAAAGCGATACCCCCATCGATACCGAACACCTACTGTTTAAGAAAGGAAGCAAACAGCAAACATGATCCTTAAAATTATAGGCTAGTAAATTTAACGAGCAACGTGTGCAAAGTGATTGAGAAAATAATAACCAGAGAAATCACTGAATAATAGATTAATTCCTCTATCACAACATGGTTTTCTACTAGAACGATATTAGTAGTAACTAACTTACTCTCATCTCTGAATCATCAGTGGGCAACTTGGCATGACAATGGAGAACCAACAACTGTCATATACCTGGACTATGCAAAATCCTTCGATAAAGTACCACATAGGACTCATAGGAGCCTATTTTTAAAATTGGAACACCTTGGAGTTAGGGAAAATTTTCTTAAGGTGATTACAGCACCCCTTAAATTTTCAAACAGGGATATCTCAAAATGTAATTTTTTTAAAAATTTAAAATTTTGTCAAAATCAATTTGGCAATAATATCTAGAATATGAAAATATTGCAAAATTCAAAGGGCTTTAAATTTAAAATTTCATAATGAAAATAAATGCATTCCTCAACAGCACTATTCTTACTATAATCACCAAATTTAAGCTCTTAATGTCTTGTTAATGATTTTTTAAAATTCGCCAAAATTAGTGAATAAAACGCCTCAATAAGTGCTATCTTCTGATGTAAACTAGTGTAAATCGTTGCAAAAAACGAATGATTACTGAGATTGTACAGGCGCGTTACACTAGAAGATAGCACTTAACGAGGCGTTTTAATCACTAATTTTAGCCAATTTTAAAAAATCATTAACAAGACATTAAGTGCTTAAATTTGGGGATTATATTAGGAATAGTGCTGTTGAGGAATGCATTTATTTTCATTGATATTTAAGGCTCTTTAATTTTTTTCTGAAATTTGTAGGAATTAACTTTAAAATATATGCATATTCTAGATATTATTGCCTAATTTATTTTGCCAAAATTTTAAATTAAAAAAAAAAAAAATTCTTTTTGAAATATCGTCCGAAAATTATAAGGGGTGCTGTATTCACCTTAAGTGGATTGAGAATTTTTTAATGAATAGGCAGTTCTGTGTTAGAGTTAATGGTCAACTATCAAAAAAATCATCCTGTTATCAGTGGAGTACCACATTTTTCCTCTGCACTAGCGACTTGGCCAGTGACACACACTCACCGTCTATTCACCGAATATTTTGCACAGATAAAATTAACAGCTGGTCAGAGAAATGTTTGCTTCCTTTAATTCATAATAAATGTTCAGTACAGCTATCAAAATAGAACACACAGAGGACATTCCAAAAAACTGGAAAAGGAAAAATGCAAGAAGCTCAAATGAAAAAATTATTTAAGCAACCGAGTGTTGTATACCTGGAACAACTTGCAAGAGGACACTATCGTATCGAGTTCAGTTAGGTTAGGTTGAAAATGAGTGGGATGATCTCATCGCATTCCACTGCGACCCAGATGGGTCTATTGTGGCTCATGACTAACTTATAGTTCACCGTACAAGCCACACCTTTTGATAAAGGTCATGGTTGAATTGGGTGAGACTTCTTTAAAGTCGGTAGGCTCCAGTCGGGTAAATCCGAAGATCTGGAACCTGGTTCTTTCCAGAGCGGAGCAGGTACATAAAATGTGCTCTGCAGACTCGTCTTCCACGCTGCAGAATCGACAGTCCGATGTTTGTTGCAGACCTATCCTTCTCATGTGGTTGCCCAGACGGCAGTGTCCAGTCATCAGTCCGGTGAAAATGCGTAGATCTCTCCTACTCCATTCTCGGATCTCTCGAAATGAAAAAATTATTTAAGCAACCGAGTGGTGTATACCTGGAACAACTTGCAAGAGGACACTATCGTATCGAGTTCAGTTAACTAGTTCAAGAATCGTCTAGATAAAGAATTAAAAAATGCTTCAAACATCATGGTCCACTATATCAATTGATCTTTTGTAATAAACTGTGATATAGGTTAATGTATTGTGATAACTGATCTGTTACATCTTAATGTTATGTACTATGTAGTTAATAAATGTGACTTTTCTTTCAATGCTAGATCAGTCTCATTGTTTTACTGCTTACTGATCTTTATTAATAATAAATATATTCTCAATCATTAATAGTTAATTAAGATTTAATTAAGCGGCAGAAGGATTTCGGTCGATAGCCTATTGGACTGAATTTTCAGTTCAATAAATGACAATTATTATTATTTAAATAAGCTAAACCACATGTAATTTTAATGTAATTAAGTTATAACTAAGTAACGAAAATATGTCATTAATAAATTGTTAAAAATATACATTTTATTCGATTGCAATGAAAATTTGTTTTAAAGAGTAAAGATAGCTGCATCCTTTATTCTCGCGTGGTCTCTGCGCCAGCTGACGACGTCGATTGCCATGAGAGTTTCTGTCTACTGTATATAATTTACAATTTTTTTTTAATTTGGTGTCATCGGCGTCGACTACTACGGCCATTAGCCTCGTGTTCTGTGCAGGCTTTGTTAGTTTCCCAGCGCCACTTTAGGAACAAAAAACATTTTGGTGACATTGCATAAAATGTCTATAATTTGAAAACTTTTAAAGTCAAAGCAAAACTGGTGATTACTATTTATTTGTTACTTGATATTGTAGTCTATTCAAAGAGTGTTATGTGGCTGATTTGACTACCTTTACAATATAAATTAAAATAGGTTTTTGTTAAAATAATTTTAAGCGCCTAGCTTGATGTCATTAATATCTTTTTTGGATATGTTGACAATGCTAAAAACTATTTAAGAAAATAAAATTATTTGTGCAGAAGCTCCCAGGAAATGGTGAGGCATTGGCTGTGTTCACCCTCATCAAACTTGTTATGTGTAATCAGTCAGTGATGATGAAAGGTCTACCTGCTTTTCGAATCATGATGGATAATCATAAAAGTGCAAATAAAGTATGCTTTTATGCTTAAAAATTATAAAGTGAACCTTGACCGTCTGTCAATTCTGTTTTTAGCATTTTGTCTTGATTTTGATTAAAAGAAATGAATATTCGTTATGAAAACAGTATACATACAGTAGTAATTGTTTGCCTATAATTAAAAGAAATCAAATAAAGTTTAAAATTTGAGGTCAAGAAAACAAAGCATAAACTAAACAATTCTTAAAATACATTTTATGACGTGAACAGAGCCATATTCGATTGATCTCTTTGGTTCAAAAATTTTTTCAACAACTTTTAAAACCAGTTTTAATAAGACGTCATAAGATTTTGAAAACAGTCAAATAGATGATATTAAAACAGTGGTCACTAACAGTTGTGAAAATGTCAAAGAGAAATCAATATTTTTATAAAAGATGCAGTATCTGACTTTAACCAGTTACCTATTTTGAAAATCAACTTTTTAAGATTTGTTGAGAATTATAAACCTTGATAATCATGCATTTACTAACTGTAAACTTTTCCCGTTTATATTGATATTTTAATAATGACTGTTAGGCAAATGTAATACATGATCTTTTTTATTATGCTTATTATTAATACTGAACATTTGTCAAGAAGAGTTTCAGAAACAGATGCAGCTGGTTTAAGCTGAATTCATTGTGCCATCATTGTTTGGTCACTCAAATGGGAATAGTTCAACCATTTTTTAAACCACATGAAATATATTTAAACCAGTCTGGTCCATTGCATATGGCTTAATTTGCAAACCACACATATCAATATGATAATCCAATGGAAAATGTTCATATAAAGAAACTAACAAAATTAAGGTACAATAATTAAACACACTTTTCTATGAATGAGGGAATATTGTACTCAATAAACTTTTTATAAAAACAATGGAACTTATATCTATCTTATACTAAAAGTCTTTCAATTTCTTGCTGAATTGTTTGGATTTGAGGTTTTAATTGTGATCCCTCATTAATGGTCACACTGCAAGCAATAACTGACCTTGAGACACCACACGCCCTTCCCAGAGCTTGTTTGGAACGAATAAAAACGTAAGGTACATTTTTATCTTCACAAAGTAAGGGTAAGTGCAATAAAATTTCCAGTGGTTCTGCGTCTGCTGCCATAACTATAAATTCAGCAATACCCCTGTTTAGAGTTTTAGTCACCTCATTGGCGCCTTTTCTTAGTTGCTTGTAATTCATGGCTTGTTGAACCAAATTTAAGATTTTTGTAGTTAGCATAGCGTCCGCTAATGGATACGCTTTTGGGTTTATTTCTTCAGCCTAAAACAAGACAAAAATGAGTATAATTTTTTTTAAGTTGTTAGTACTTACCATTTTACGTATTAATTGTATTGTAAAAAACGAAACTGAGAAGATATTACTACCCTGACCTCTCTGCGAATGTTATTTCGCTTCACTGAGGATAGAGGACGAATTTTTAAAATTTAACACAACCGTTTAGAAAACGTGCTTTTGGTGTTTTGTTAGGTTAAGGTTAAACATGTGTTCTTCTTTTTTTTACGAACGTTACGAACCTGCCTCTACTAGTTTAAGGTCCGCATTTTAACAGAACTCAGCTGAGTTGGACTTAGGTAAAATCGAAGTTCGGTTACAACGTCTCTAAAGTTCTACGTGGTTCTGGTGTTAGACTGGAATTTAGAGATGGATATTATTAAATCTGTAACTGTTACGTACATTTACGAATTTGTTACTACCCATCTCTAAATTCACGCGATATAACCGAACTTCGATTTTTGTTCAAGGACGACTTACCCAAAAGTCCGACTCAGCTGAGTTTTGTTTATAAATATGGACCTTGGGTCCGACTATGAAGAAGTCTGACTCATCTGACCTTAGTTTTTCTACGATCTGACCAATGAACTGGAGTGGGGTAGAATGCTTGTCAATAGGCTTGAGATGCGACTCTATGGGCGAAGACAGGTTATTTTTCATCTCACTCGGAAGTATTTATAACGACCATTTTCTATTTCACTTTGTTATTGTCTGATCCACCAGCCTGTGGATTGAACAATAACATTGTGAAACAGAAAATGGTTATTATAAATACTCCCGAGTGAGATGAGAAATAAAAATGGCTGCGCCCATAGAGTCGCATCTTGTTCAATTGATAAAATATGCACATTAGCTTTCTACTCCACTCCAGTTCATTGGATCTGACCTATAACCAATGAACTGTAGTGGGGTAGAAAGCCAATGTGCATATTGTATCAATAGAACAATATGCGACTCTATGGGCGCAGCCATTTTTATTTCTCATCTCACTCGGGAGTATTTATAATAACCATTTTCTGTTTCACTTTGTTATTGTTCAATCCACATGCTGGTGGATCAGACAATAACAAAGTGAAATAGAAAATGGTTGTTATAAATACTCCCGAGTGAGATGAAAAATAACCTGTCTTTGCCCATAGAGTCCCATGTCAAGCTTATTGACAAGCATTCTACCCCACTCCAGTTCATTGCCTATAACCAGTGGCTGGTGCGAACAGACAGACCATTACCCCAAAAATATAAAAAGAATTTGGTAAAAAATGAAGATGATGACAGTTGACAGGAACTTCACTTTCTTGCTCAAAAAACAAACATTCAAATTCAAAAAAATTACTGGTTTTTGGTTTTATCAGTTATTTACTCTTACTCCAGGACGATTTTTATTAGATCTGAGACAGATTTACCTGGACTCTGGTTTAATCTTACGAAGCGAATAATCTTAAAACAAATATGTCAGATATAGTAAGCTATAAAGATGCTGAAAATAAAATCCATGAAGAGCTATACAACAATTTATATTTGTTGAAAAATATCTATACAACAACTCTTAACTTTAACCGTGTCTTCAAGAAATACATGTTTGCCAAAAGCAATAAAGATGGATTTTTTGAGGTAATTTATTATCTATTAAATATTCTTAATCCTATTTTAACTAAAGAAAGGCTAACGACTTGGCCACCCTTTGACATTAAAACAGAAAATAAATTTAGAACTGAAGTATTGAATTATATGAAGGAATTAAATAACTTATATCACCATGCCAATATACCTCAAATGATGGCATCTCACTTAATATCACCAGGAGGGTATAAATTCACTAAGTTTATGTTTAAATTGTCCCAGTTAGTAATTTATGAGCATTTAAAGAAAAAACATGAAGTTGAATTATTATATTACCCTGAGGCCAATGAAAATGAAGATGTTATAAAAGTGTTGATGAACAATTTCCAAACAATCACATCAGGTATTGAATTTAAAACAAAAAAGAAACTTGATCAATTACATGAATATCATAAAACACAAGAAGAAAAAGCATTATCTATAGTAAACACTTTAAGCCAATTAGACAAAAGTGTTTCTGTTTCAAAAAAGGAAAAGGCTATAGCAGAAGAGAAATTTTATAAGAAATATACAGTGTATCCGTCTGATGATAGTTTAAAGAATAAATTGGTAACTTTAAATCAACAATGGCAAAATTTAGCACACATTCACACATTATATGGGGATTGCAAACAATTACTAAGTTATATTAATAATACAAATTTAGTTATAGATATTGAAGATAAAACAAACTGCAAAGAACAAAATTTGTCAGATTTTTTTAATACATTAACATTGTTGATAAATTCTAAGTCATTAGAACTGCCTAATCCAACTAACTCTTATATTCAGCAGAATTCAGAAAAAATTTGTGAACTTCTACATAAAAATACAACAATCTTGAAGGAAATCTCAGTGAATATACAACAAACACAATTATTAATTAGGGACACCTATGAGTCTGTCAGATTTGTTGAACATTTGATCGCAAACCAACCAAAGCCGGAAGATTTTTTAGATGATATGCAAGGAATAAAACTTTTGGAATTGGGCAGTGATTGAGTACCTAAATACTTTTAATTTTCATTATATTTTATAATTACTTCCAAATATATATTTTCTTATTTCTCCTTAACATAATGTCAACCAAATCCTATCCATTTACAGCTACAAATAATCATCCTCCTTGGTATATATTAGAAATAGGTAACCTACATTTTTTTAAGGGATGAGAAGTATAATTTCCTGATTTTATATTTTGGCACAAAATTATTTAAACAGTGAAAAATGTTAAAAATATTTTTCTATGCCCACATGGATATTTATCTTATCTACACACAGACTACAAAACGAAAAAGTACGCTATTGTGTTCAACTGAATTAATATATTTCATATCCATTCTAGGTAGTGAGAACACTGCAAAAATATGAAATCCACCAATCACAGTTCACATTTTGGACCCAACTAAACTATTTTTAAAATTTTAAATAAGTGACAATTTTGTCAAACTAATTGTTAGACATTTTTTAGTTATTGATAGTGGATTTTATTTGTTGCACTAGGTGCAAGTGTTCTGCACTAATCCCATTTGATTTGTTCAGTGTAGCTTCAAATATTTGACTGTAGCCAACGATACTTAACTTATCTATAGTAAAAATAATACTCTCCATATTCATCCCCTTATGAGTGAATTTTAACCTCGGAAGCAGAGAATATGGGAAGGGCAGGGACATTATTATTATTTGCCATGGCGACTTTTACAGATTGTGGTGCCATTTGACTTACAGGCCGAACAAAACCCCACCTACTACCATTGACACAGTAACTCATTCGGATTACTCTGGACATTATACCAAAAGAAATATTACTGCTAATACGCCACCCATCAAATCCTACAACGAATCATGCAAATTAATGAAAAATTAACACCGGTCTGCTCTGTGATTTGAACCTATATTTTGTCGGCCGTCAGTAATTATTATACGGAGCGCTCAACGCACACTGAGCCATTGGGCCGAGTACATAGGAAAGTTTTAATTTTCGATGGTTTGCGTAAAAATAAATCTAATATACAACTATAGTACACAATTTTTTGTCGTAATTCATGGTCAAAATATAGAAACCATCAGCCATATCCATCCAGATGGAGTTTGAGCTGGTTTTAAATTTGTCTTGTAGTCGTAGAAAAAATAATGTACTTCACTTGTGCGAAAGTGTTTTTATGCACTCATATGATTAACCCACTTGGTTTGCGCCTCGTGTGACCATATTTCCACACGTGTAAAAAGTCACTTTACACACTTGGAATCTTATTTAACATTCAATATTAATAAGCCAATAATACTGTATTTTAGTGTTATATTATTTAGCTAAACATATTCAAATGCAGTGACACATATTTACCTATATAGGTTAAGGGCCGCCCCATGCTACTATAAATCTGGCTGTCCCACTGTCAGCGTATCTTCACAAGTTTGCCATAAAATATTAGTTATAAAAATTAAGTTTTTTTAATAATTTATTTAGACTTACTCTTATTCATTTAATAAGTTTTCATTGGAAATAGGCTGTGGCGCAAAGGAATCAATCAATTCTGAATAATCTAGAGTTTATAGGGATCCCGAAAATATAGACATTTAGGAATTCCTGTTTTTTTTAATTATAAGTGAAGAGATAATTGCCGCGCTGGGCTATAGCCCAATCAGCCCCTGCTTAAATGTCGCCCTGTACATGGCTCACGTCTAGCTGACAACACATTGGAACCTTTTCTCATTTAAAATACATTACCTTACACAGCAGGTTACCCTATGCTACCTATACACTAATTTTTACTATTTATAACTGTGGCCTGCAGGATAATTACATACAAATTAAAAAGTGATCAGAATATAGGTTTTGAAGGTAGTGTGTATTTTAATTTCTGAAATTATTTTTTTGAGAATTGGCATCTAAATGTAGTTTTTTTGCCACAGATTTTTGTAAACCGAATAATTATTTATATTTTAATATTCAATAAAATAGAAATACTTGATGGAAAAAGGATATTTAGGGAAGCAAGTTTAAAAAAAAATTAAATCACAGTGGGCTATCGTGTCAATAATGGTAAGTGGGGTTCCCTCAAAAAGGGGGTTCATGAAGTTGAATAGTCTAGAAAAGATATGGAACAGAAAGTACAAGATGGCAAGGTTAAGATTTGGTTGGGTACCTATATATTTAGAGAAAAGAAAAATATTACTCAACTAGGGATATAAGATCAGAGAAGAAAGATAGGTTGATTAAGGAATCAGGACATTAAATTAGTTTAATAAATGATTATTTAAATGAAACAAATTATATTTATGAATTAAAAGATACCTATTTCATTTTTGCAGATTGAATGTTGTTAATTATTGGTCAGACATTTCAATTGAAAAATACTATTTTGAATCACCTTTATCCAAAATTAAAAAAAAAGAAACTTAGTTAAACTATATTTATATTTCTTAAAATTGAATTACAAATGTCACGCAATATTAGTATCCACAAGTCTTAATCGAATAAATATATTAGTCTTTTATATTCAAAATGGTACTACTGTTATTTCTCCAGTTTGGCCGGCATCTCTCTGGGGACTCTAAAAAAAAAATACTAGAATAAAAAACTTAAATTGGTAAAAATGTCCTACCTTTACATGGATTTTATTTTTCAAAACAGCAGCTCTCAAAATCAGCATTCGAGTTCTTCTCTGGTATTCCTTGCCCATAAGTAAGCTCTTCTCAAATGTGGTACTACGTTGGTCAACATCTTTAGCAAAGAGAATTTTGTTATGAGAATCTATTCTGGCTTGTATTTGTCCCTCTAAAATGAGTTGCATTAACTCATCTTCTAAAGCCGGAACAGTTCTGTTGAATGCCAATGCCATTTTATGCATATCTGCAGATAAGTAAGGACTGAAGTACTGAATTAGTGCCCTATTTCGAATCTGAGTATATAAAGTATTAACGTGAGGAGCAATATACATATCAAGAAGTAAATTATCTTTAATTTCATCTAGTAACTTCAAACATGAAGCATATTTTGACTCATAAAACTTAAAGATTATATCACGTAGTTGTGGCTCTAATTCTAAAAACAATTTAAAGGAGCTACTAAAAATAACATTTTTTTGCAATTCATGTCTGTCAAAAGTTGCAAGTGCACAAAGGCCTCCATACATGGCAACATTGTTGGGAGAAAGCAACTCTGGAAAATCACAATGATCCAAATTAGCTTGAAGAAAATGTTTGGCAGCAGATTTGTATTTCTTTGTAGCCAACTCTGCTAGCCCTGCAGCACACTTCAACTTTGTTAGTATTACTTGATTTGAATCTTTTGATTGGGTTTCAGAAAAATCTGGAGTACTTTCAGCTTTAGAAACATAACTTAATACATGAGACCAGTTTTGTAAATATACAGACACTTTAATAACATTTAAACACATATTGACTACATGTTTTCCACTAGTGCAATAATCTCTAGCTCTTGAATAACATTTCAGAGCATTAGAAAGATCTCCACAGTCCAAGTAGTGGTCACCTAGATCATCATGACCTCGTCTAATACTTTCTTTAATAGAGTTTGATTTATAATTTTTCAGATCATTATCCAGTTTCTCTAGTTTAAGTGCAGCTCTTTTTGATCTGGTTTCCATCCATAAGTTGTCAATTGTGGGTATATCTTGAGAAGTGGACGGTGCTGCTACATCTGGTACATTCATTGATGTTGTTACCTCTGCAAGTTTTTGATGAAGTACTTGATATAAATTAACATTATATGTAGTCATTGCATATGAAATTGCCGTCTTCAGGGCTTCTAATTTAAGAGAAGGACAATGATCTATAATGTAGAGAAGCCGGTATAACTTCGCTAAGCCTATGTAGTTATTCGCATAAACTTCTAAATCTAATGTAGGATTCTCAACTACATAATTATCTTCTTCATTATTATCGTTATCTTCTGGCGGGGCATCCACTTGCATAGGCTCAACTGCATTCTGTAAGAAATCCATAATGTAAATAAAACACAAATAATTAACAAAAAATGGAACTGAAGGAACGAAAAAATTTGAAAATTATTCGTTGACAAATGACAGAATTTAATAGCTAACCGCTCACCTGTAGCATCATCTGTGCCATAATGTGTTTTCCTTTTTAATGAATATTCTTTATTTCCGTCGTTTATTATTTTTCAGATATTTTATATATTTTACCGTTGTCCCAACAAGCTAAACTTTTCATTCTGCCGACATTTTGATTTATTGATTGACAGTTGTCTGGAGTTTATCCTTCCTCCATGGTTTAGACACATAGCCCTCAGAAGGTCTAGATACCGCATCGTAAAAACATTTTGACCCCCCATATGATGGGCGCCATGATAAATAAATGTCAATAAATTTTAAGTTGGCACTTTTGACAAGACAGAATCGGCACAAGTTTAGTAATAAGCGTAAGATCGGCGTTCGACGTATATAATCGATTTTATTATCTGTTGTGTTGTTTATTTTGTTCTTCTAGTAAAGGTTTTATTTAAAACATTAAATTTTAGTTTAGTCGTTTAGTGTTTTATTTTAATAAAAAACATTTGTGGTTTGGTGTTAAATTATTACAGGATTTTCAAAATCTCTTGTTGTTTTGTACGTGAATGTAACAATGCATCCAACGGTAGAAGATACAAGGAAGGAATAACATTTCATGTGTAAGTTTTCAAAAATATTTGTATATTTTCAAAATCAAATAATTTGTGTTTTGTCGTAGCATACCAAAAAAATTTAGGAAAGAATAACTGATAGCCATAGGAAGACTATTGAATCATTTTGTGACTTTAGTATAAGCCCAGAAAATTTGGGGATACTAGCTGAAACGGCAAATGTGTTATTGGCTCATTGTTAGTGACCTATTGTACAATTTTTCCAACACACATTCCATGATCCTTTGAACTTGGCTGCACCGTACTGATGAAGACCAATAGTCAGAAAAACATGTCGACCGTTACTTCTTTTTTACTTTTTTTTATTCGGAAAATGTCCACTATTACTACCTTGATACAATAATATTAGTTCCGTTCTAAGTAGGTACATATTATAGTTTGTATGTTTTATGCTTTATTTTATTACATGTAATAAATGTTAGGAAATATACTTTTATAGTAAATAAATTGATTAAAGCAATATGTAAGAATAAGTTTATCTAAGGATTGTTAAAGCAATTTTTCATATCCATTGTTTATTAATTTGTTTCATTTAATTCTTTCTTATTGAGTAAGTTATTTCATATAAATATGCGATACTTGTAAAATGTAATATTTTGTTTTAAATAGGTATATATTATGTTTGTACAAAATATTGTTCAGTTAATAAAAACAGAAATATTTTGTCTTTTATTCAAATAAAGAAGATTGTAAATTTTTCAAAATATATTTACCTACCCCAAAAAAAGATTAATAAAACCAGTTAGTCATATACACATTTTCTATATATTTATAGAGGTACTTTTTAAATAACTTTCAATACATTCGAAATCTCTGGTTTTATTAAACTCAATGTAACAAATAATAATAGGTATTCTCAAAAATATTTAAAAATAAAATCGAGATGGGAGTCTTGTATAATTTAGTGACTATTCGCCTATGGTTAGTGCACTGCTGTATGTCCCTGAGTTTTCTACATTAGAACAATACTGCTTCTCCACTTTAGCAGTATTTTTTGCATCTCACAATATTATATTTATTAAAAAACCAAGGAATTGTTTCGGGCCTATTGCTGTGCCCTTTTCCAACATTCCCAAAGTTTTTTTTTTACTTTCTGCTGATTGGATCTCCGATAGCGACAACTCCATTTATTGTTCCACTAGTTTTTTATCAAATTTTTAAAATAACTTCTATATATTTATCTTTTGCAACGACTTTGCTTACCTGCTTCATAATCTCTTCCCTATGCCCCAATTTCTCTAACAGGTGAGATCTCATACTCGCTCTATTAAATCAAATTATCATTATAGTTTATTTGAAAATGGTTGGTAGCACAGTTTTTATGGCAAAGGTCCATATTTTTATATAATTTTGCTATTATTAATTTTCAAATAAACTATAGGAATAGGAGTAATCTATTAGTTTTTCTAAAAATACCTTGTTAAGTATATCTTTCCCTAGTTAAAAAATTCGAGTTTTTATTTTCATAATATAAATAAATGACCGGTTAACAATCACATTCTTTTAAATAGTACATTTGACATTGAAGTAGGTATTTTCTCCATATTGCCAAACAGGAACAGATAATTTACTTGTAATTTGAATTTTATTACATAAATCTCACTGAATTTCTCTATAATTCTCATAGCAATATGTACACAAAACACTTATCCAATAATATATATAACCATGTAAAAATAACATTCAAGAACGAGAAAATTTATAAAACCGGTCCTGTCTGAACAGATCTAGGAAAATCAAATAGGTTTGTCAAAGTTTTGTTCTTAATTTGAAATTAGAAATTGTGCGTCTCACTCACTTATAACTAATAACAAAGTGCAGATTATCGGTGTTCACGTATTACAGAACACACAAACTAAAAATCAGTGTAGCCAAAACATAAATTTACCTAACATGGCGACAAGCTTGAATGGGGTCATTTTTTTGTATTGACAGCATACGCCAAGCGGTATCTAGACTTTCTGAGGGCTATGTTTAGACAGTTGACCGTTTAGCTCTGGCGATTATTTGTGATGCATCGTTTCAAGTCAGTAATTTAAAGTCAAATTAAAATAAATTAATTTGAAAATTTGGGGAAACTGAAAAACTAGTCTATTTTTTAGTTACCCATGAAGATATTTTTCGAGGCATAAACCAACATGAACGTTTATGATAGGTTAGGTAATTTACACTAGAGGTGCTCTTTCGTTTGCTGTTGGTGCAGTGACCACCAGTGTAAATTACACCTGTTACACCACCTTATATCTCCGATCTTGATATGTAATGGGACAGATGTGTCCGATGTGGATAAAAAAACGCTCGAGATGTAAAAAATGCATCCGATGTGGATTCATATGCCGCGTTTGAGAATCCACATCGGATGCATCTGAGATGTAGTAAATCTTTGATCACGTGATTCAGTATACGTAAATGTAATGGGACAGATGTGTCCGATGTCGATAAAAAAAACGCCCGAGATGTAAAAAATGCATCCGATGTGGATTCTCAAACGCGGCATATGTATACTGAATCACGTGATCAAAGATTTACTACATCTCAGTTGCATCCGATGTGGATTCTCAAACGCGGCATAAATAGCTTGTGGAGGAATAAGTATCCATCAGTGGAAACCACAACACCAATCGAAAGGTTAGTGGATTTTACACCGGGCCCTTAGAGCATCTAAGACCGGGCCAAACGAAATGTTCATTCTTACACCAGTGGGACGAACAAGAAAACCTTATCAAAAAACGATCATGCGGGATCTAGGGGTCTATTCTGTAACAATTCCTTTATATTTCAACGGCCGTTAAAATATTGGAGGCCTTTAAAAATATTTTTGTATTCACTAACTTACTTCTGTCATTATTTAAACGGATTCCTTTAAAATAGTCCTCAAATAACAATCATTTTTATGTCGCGTTTGAGAATCCACATCGGATGCATCTGATATGTAAAAAATCATTGATCACGTGATTCAGTATACATTTGCCGCGTTTGAGAATCCACATCGGATGCATCTGAGATGTAGTAAATCTTTGATCACGTGATTCAGTATACGTAAATGTAATGGGATGTGTCCGATGTGGATAAAAAAACGCTCGAGATGTAAAAAATGCATCCGATGTGGATTCTCAAACGCGGCATATGTATACTGAATCACGTGATCAAAGATTTACTACATCTCAGTTGCATCCGATGTGGATTCTCAAACGCGGCATAAATAGCTTGTGGAGGAATAAGTATCCACCAGTGGAAACCACAACACCAATCGAAAGGTTAGTGGATTTTACACCGGGCCCTTAGAGCATCTAAGACCGGGCCAAACGAAATGTTCATTCTTACACCAGTGGGACGAACAAGAAAACCTTATCAAAAAACGTTCATGCGGGATCTAGGGGTCTATTCTGTAACAATTCCTTTATATTTCAACGGCCGTTAAAATATTGGAGGCCTTTAAAAATATTTTTGTATTCACTAACTTACTTCTGTCATTATTTAAACGGATTCCTTTAAAATAGTCCTCAAATAACAATCATTTTTATGTCGCGTTTGAGAATCCACATCGGATGCATCTGATATGTAAAAAATTATTGATCACGTGATTCAGTATACATTTGCCGCGTTTGAGAATCCACATCGGATGCATCTGAGATGTAGTAAATCTTTGATCACGTGATTCAGTATACGTAAATGTAATGGGATGTGTCCGATGTGGATAAAAAAACGCTCGAGATGTAAAAAATGCATCCGATGTGGATTCTCAAACGCGGCAGCAAATGTAATGGGACAGATATGTCCGATGTGGATAAAAAAACGCTCGAGATGTAAAAAATGCATCCGATGTGGATTCTCAATCGCGGCATTAAAGGGATGTTAAAATTCGCCTTTAATTTTTAACGGTTTTGAATTGAAAATTGAGGATTTGTATGGTTATTGGTTATGTTTTAAAACTAGTGTAAGGGTGAGATTACAGAACGTCTGCAACTTTGCATCTGCAACTTTGCAAATATGGCGGACTTACAAATGTAAGTATTCCAAAAAATATCTGCAAATTCGCAATATTTATTGTGGTTTATTACCCCCAACAACACTAAACCCAAATTTGGAATACGAAAACTTGATACTGGCATGTGTAAGTCAGTCATATTTGCAGATTTTCAAAGTTGCCGCCATATTTGCAGATCTGCAAAGTTGTAGACGTTCTGTAATCTCACCCTAAATAGGTATTTTCCTTTGCATCGACAGTGTAGCACTGAGCTACGTCACTTCTGAAAATATTGTTCCATCCATACAATTTGTATAAATGGAACAGTGGTGTAGCTCAGTGCTACACTTTCGATGCAAAGGAAAAGACCTATTAAATCTTAAATGTGATGTTGTCAAGTGTTCGACTGCAATTTACAGGCTTCTAAAATTTGTGTATACAGAATACCATTTTTGGTTAAAAAAATTAACGGGCCGCTAAAAGTTTAATTTTTAAAAAAGGCCTCTAAATTTTAACGGATGTGTTACAGAATAGACCCCCCCCATGTTGGTTTATGCCGCGAAAAATACATTACAACAGATGCTGCGTTTGAGAATCCACATCGGATGCATTTTTTACATCTCGAGCGTTTTTTTATTCACATCGGACACATCTGTCCCATTACTTGTGCTGCGTTTGAGAATCCACATCGGATGCATCTGAGATGTAAAAAATCTTTGATCACGTGGTTCAGTATACGTAAATGTAATGGGACAGATGTGTCCGATGTGGATAAAAAAACGCTCGAGATGTAAAAAATGCATCCGATGTGGATTCTCAAACGCGGCAATTTACGTATACTGAATCACGTGATCAAAGATTTTTTACATCTCAGATGCATCCGATGTGGATTCTCAAACGCAGCAAGAGTCGGTATAAAAATGCCTAAAAATTCTGAACCCAAGTCCAGTCACACTGACAACTGACATTTGATACTTTGGTAGTTTTGGTTTTCGATGACATCAAAATCTGCCTGTGTTCTTGCGTTTACATACAGCATTTTGGAGCTGGGGAACTCTTTGTTCCTTTTTTACAAATTTGAACTTTTACAATTCTTTTCTTCGTAATATAATGGTTTTTTGTTTTCTGTAAACATTCGTGATAAGGTAATATCTCTAAATAGTTTTGCAAGCAATTACATTATTACATTTAAGCTCATTTTAGGTTCGTCTCAAGCTAAGGTATTTCCTGAAAATTCACAATGACATCTGGCAACAACATTGAATCAGAATACTTGGACTTAAACGCTAAAAATGAGTGGCAAATTCTTTATCAGGTAATAAATAAATCATTTAATTACTTATTCAATTACTTGTTTCTTCGAAATATGCTCACTAATGTGTAACTTTTCCCGGAAAGTAACTGTAAAATTTGTAAATGTTTAACATCGGTCCAATTTCATCATTAGTAAAGTATGTTATACTAATTAATATTAATTACATTGGCTACTTGTTTTAATTTTAGAATGTTTCAGTAAATTTTTCATAAGTTTTTTTTTAACTCATGGTGAATTAATCAGATTTATTAACTATTTTAAACAAATGCTGATATGTGTTTGTTTTGTTTTTGTTAAATTTAATTAAATTATTACGGAATTAACATAATACATATATAATTTTTTGGTTTACTATTTAGGAAAAGTTTTCTTTATACCTTGTATTAGTTGTCACATTTTAAATTTGACATATTCCTTAAATTATTGTTTCTCATATCTCAGTTTCAATTTTGATATAAATATGATTTACTTATGAATAAAAATACATAAATGTTAATTGGAGTCATATTTAGTTCACTTTTAGAAATTATTTAAACAATTATATTTGAATATTTTTTTTCTTTATTACTTTGGCCTATTTGTAACTGTTTATTTAACTGCCAGTGAACATGCTGCTAAAAAGATATTTCACATTTCATAATTCGTTGGAAAACAAATTTGATTATTTTCAGAAAATCCGTTCTCAAAGTCATAAGGACAATATGTGTTTAGAAGCTGTCAAACCACAGAATAAACTTTTAAATAGGTATAGAGATGTCAATCCTTATGATCATAGTAGGATAGTATTAAAACGGGGGTCAACAGATTATATAAATGCTAATCTTATTAAAGTAGAAAAGGCCAATAGACAGTATATACTGACACAAGGACCTCTAAGTAATACTTATAGTCACTTTTGGCTGATGATTTGGGAACAAGAATGTAAAGGGGTAAGTAACTTTGCCATAATAAGGAAATATTGTTTAAAAAATATGAATAATGTATTCATATTTCATTCTTCTCCAACATCGAAACAGCCCTGTTAACTTATTTTGGATTATTCCACTCTAACCTAACATATGGTATGTTAGGATGGGGTAATACATCTTTTAGTAATTTACAAAAGGTGTTTGTTCTACAAAAAGCAGCTATTCAATCTGTTGCGAAAGCAGACTTTAGAAATTACTGTGTTCCACTGTTCAAACGGCTTAAAATCATGACAATTTTCTCAGCTGTAATATATGAAAACTTACACTATAAAGAGCAACACATATTTATTTAATACACACTCTGAAGTCTACTCATACCACACAAGAGCAAAAGATGCATTAATCCAACCTTATTGTAGGATTAATAAATCGAAAATAATGAGTGTCAATTACTTCAATGCATTACCAGAAGGGATACGGACACTCCCTGTTAGAAAATATAAACAAAAAATTAAAATCCTTGTGATTGATATGTGCTTCTATAATTTAATGGATTATTTTGAAGCAATTAAGCATGCTGACTAGGGTAACTATGTCACATGTTCTAATATATTTTAATGCTGGTCTAATAAATCAATTTTAGTCTTGAGCTGTAATTAATGAACTACTATATTTTATTATAAATTGTAAACTATTGCTATGATATGTATATGTATGTGTGGAAATATGCATTATAAGTTTTCTTTTTTCTTTATATATTTTTTATTTTTTGACGAATGTAAACGTCTAAAGTAAGTAACACTGAATAAAGATTTTTATTATTCTTGTAAGGTTCTTTCGTTCACTATTGGTGCAGTGGCCACCAGTGCCAATTACACCACACTAGATGATCAGCTGTTTTGTGGTGTAATATAAACCAACGAAAGCTTTTATGTTGATTGGTGCAAAAATAACGTAATTTGTCATTTATTTATGAACGATTTGCTCCAAATCGTTTGCATATAACATTTTATTGTTTGTTTACTTTCATTTATTTATTAGTTTGTTTTAAACATGGCCCAAACTCGTTTATATATATTTTTTTAAATTGCACTTTCTTAAATGTTTTAGAAATTGATTGTGCTTACTGTGTTTGGAACATCATCTGCAGGAACAAACCTTATAAATCTTCCCTCTTCTCTTTCTTATTCCTTATGTGCATGTTGAGGGCAATTCACTTCTGCTAAATAACTGGTGGAGAAAGTCTCCACACCACACCAGTGGAACCAATGAAAGAACTTATATAGCAGGGACAGAAGTTGGAAAGGCTTTTCACAATTCTCCCACTTCATGTACAGAAATTGACAGTTTCGTTTCGTGGCGGAGCTAAGGGAAGTGGACAGGATACATTGGTTTACAAAATTATTTTATAGATGTTAATAACAATTTTGGGGTAAATAGTTTAATAAATTGTGAATAGCTGTTGAAATTTTGTAGAATTATGATTTTGGATATTCTAATATTTGTTTAATAATTATTTCTAATCCATAAATTCATGCTATTGTCCGGTTCCGCCGGTAACAATTTAAAATAACTTATTCTATGAAACACCACTGGCAGATAAACATTACCGCGAAATTCTCAAAGTCGTTCGATGTGATTTGATGTTTACTCCCTCTCTACCTACCAAAAGCCTTTCAAACTTCTGCCTCTGCTATAATCAATAGAACCAAATTAACCATTGAAACACCAATGTTTAAAAACAAAAACTAACAAAAACGAAATGTATTTGCAATGGAGCAAAAATTCCAATAATTAATTTTTATAATTTTTTTTTATATAAAGCTAAAAAACAGTAATTTAAAATTAAATAAAAAGTAAAAAACTAAAAAGGTCAATTAAATCTAAGCCCTAACAAAATTTTGAACATAATATTTTTTAAAGTATTTTTTTGAATAAATTTCAATTTCAATTTTTTAATTCTAAAGGAAGAGAGTTGTACAATTTAATAGAATTATATAAAAAACTTCTTTTAAACAGGGCTGTTCGATGAGGGGGTATTGTGTAAGTTGTGACTTTTTATGTTATCATGTTTTCTGTAGGATTACAGTTTACAATTTTAATACATAATTGTCAATACATTTTTAATAACTCTCTTATCTTTAACTAATAGTTGATAGTTTGACAATAAGCAAAAAAGTTAATTATAACATAACTATGTCTTAAGACCTACCATATTTGAAAATAGGTACTGTTTGGCAACGGTGAAGCTAAAAACTAGTTTTAATGTCCTTTATTATTAAAATTAATTAATTGAATCACAAATCCATTAATGAAACTGAATTGTATTTATAGGTCTTTTCCTTTGCATCGAAAGTGTAGCACTGAGATACGTCACTTCTGAAAATATCGTTCTATCCATACATATTGTATAAATGGAACGATATTTTCAGAAGTGGTGTAGCTCAGTGCTACACTTTCGATGCAAAGGAAATGACCTAATAAGTGCTGTTATCGCCTTTTTTGTGGCTTGACAAGTGACAGGCGATCAATTATTAATTTTATTAGAATTGTTTCTCTTGCACACTGTATATATTTGTTCCATTTTTTGTGGTATGTCCACTGATCTGTATTATTTTACTGGATAGGATATAGGTTATATTTGACATACTAAAAATCCGTTCCATCAAGGAGACCGGAAGTGCAACACTGCTGGCCGATTTGGGCAAATTATAGCGGGATAATTTGACATATCTAACCTATAATTTAATTAGTTCTTCTTCTATTCATTTCGCATATAATATCCTTTGGGAGAATTCACCCATAATTTGATTTTTTATGAAAGAAAATATAAAAATGAAAACGTGAAGCATATTGTGTCTTCATGAATGAACATTTATTGTTTATATCATAGTAATGCTATCCGATTACTATCTACATAAATAGCAGATAAATGATCAGTTCTAAAGTACCTATAGTGGAAATTAACATTCTTAAAACTGCACTAGTGATTTTTATCACTTATGGGGACTACAACTAAAAGGAGATATTTGTAATAGAAATAACAGCCTCGAGCTAGAACTACATAGATGGTCGAATCACTCTAGGGAACAAGTATGAAACGAGAATCGGTGAGTTTGCCATTGTTACAATAGAACCAGGAAGAACAGGGATATAAATATGGTTAACAGATGTAAAAGATCTAAACAATACCTGTGAAAATGTTTAACTGATAGAACAATATGGATACATGCAACTAAGGCGTCTTCATCATAACTTCTTGACATAATTAGATGACAAATGGAAATAGAGGTTATGATAAATAATATCCTCCTTATTATTTGCCCAAATCGGCCAATTTTTCAGAACGTTTTTTAGGTGGCTATATCCTATCCAGTAAAATAGTACAAATCAGTGGGTATGTCATAGAAACCATGGATATTTCAATCAATGGTAAGATTTCTCCAATTAAATTCAGACATATCCTGGTTGAGTTTACAAAAGCATGTCACAGAAAAGCAAGTCACTTTGTATTTTCTCATTGGTTGCACATTTAGGCTGATAATGGTATTTTTTTAAATCATAAAGTAGATTATAGTACTATATGAATTCTTACCATAACTATTAATTAAGGAGGTCCTTTCGCCACACCTCTCGCCTCCAATGTTAAAAAAAAAGTTATTAGATTATGACTAAAATTAATTTTTTTCTAATAGTTGAAGTCCTTATTTATCTAATGCTGAACTTTTAACTATACCTTACCTTGCAAATTTTTGAGATTTTTTTTTAAAAAATGTGAGTATTTGTACAGTGCCTCACGAGAAAGTAAGTCCTCAACAACAATTCTCGAATTATACTATTATTTATTGATTAGATGGAGTAGAAAAAAACTAAAAATAAGGTTTTTTGAAATATTTAGATTTTGTTATATACAATAAAATATATATAGTAAACTGTGGAACTTATTGAGAAATTAATATTAAAAAATTACAAAAAATTTTCAAGTAACCTAGTTGAAAATTTTTTAATAATAATTTCTCAGTAAATTCCACGGTAACCTATATATTTTATTGTAAAAAACAAAACCTAAATATTTCAAAAACCTTATTTTTAGTTTTTTTCGACTCCATCTAATCAATAAATAATAGTAAAATTAATTATAATTCGAAAATTGTTGTTGAAGTCTTACTTTCTCGTAAGACACTGTACAAACACACACATTTTTAAAAAAAAAAATTCTCAAAAATTTGCATGGTAAGGTATAGTTAAAAGTTCACTATTAGATAAATAAGGACATCTACTATTAGAAAAAAATTAATTTTAGTCATAATCTAATATTTTTTATTTAACATTGGTGGCGAAAGGACCTCCTTAAGTTAAATAAAACAAAAAAACTATAGTTACAATATTGTGATTTAGTAAAATTTAATTACCTTTTTTTTATTGCAAGTAATTTTGATTTACAAGAAATTTAGTCATTTGTGTATTGAGTAATTAGGAGTCCAAAGTATTTGACATAGTTCTTAATTTTAAATGTGGTCTGTTTCAATGATATATTTAATTAAATTATTTTTCTTTGCCATATCCAGGTAGTAATGCTGAATAAATTGGTAGAAAAAAAGCAAGACAAATGTTATCAATATTGGCCGTCCAAAATTGGTCCAGATTACAAAATGCAACTTGAAGATGTTGGATTATCAGTAGAATACATAGAACAAAAAGATCATTCTTACTATTTAACAAGGCTTCTTAGACTGACTGATACAGAAAGTGGCAATTCTCGTGATATTCTGCAATTCCACTACACCACATGGCCAGATTTTGGAGTCCCTAGTTCACCAACTGCTTTCTTAGAGTTTCTTCGAAAAGTAAGGGATGTTGGAGTATTAGAATCAGATGTTGGACCTGCAGTAGTACATTGTTCTGCGGGTATTGGCAGGTCAGGAACATTTTGTCTGGTTGATTCAGTTTTAATTTTGGTAAGAAAATCATTTAAATCTCTTATTGAGATATAGAAATAATAAAAAATAAAAAAAGAACTATTTTCCTGATTACTTATATGTTTTGATATTGTTGTACAATAATAATAATAATAATACAACAAAAAAACATGTAACTACTTACAAATAACTTAAAAAGAACTATTATTATGTTATAGCTAATTTAAATAATGCGAGCAACAAAGCTGTCAACTTTGTCGTTCGGCGAGCGACAAAGCTGTCACTTAATGTCAGTTCGTCAACTTTTTACTTTCCTATCTGTATACAGATAAGGAAAGTATAGGAATCATGATTTTTTTCGACCTCCAGTTTTCGACGGATTTTTACGTTTTGGGGTCCCCTGAATCCTTTTTGACTATTTTCGGGATTGTGGGTGTGTGGGTGTGTGGGCGTGTGTGCGTGTGTGCGTGCGTGCGTGCGTGTGTGTGTGGGGGTGCGTGCGTGCGTGCGTGGGTGTGTGTGTCTGTCTGTGTGTGTGTGTGTCTGTCTGTGTGTGTGTGTCTGTCTGTCTGTGTGTCTGTCTGTGTGTCTGTATCCACCATAACTCATGAACCGATACAAAGAAAAACACCAAATTTTAGACTTAAGCTTTATTCCATCCTGCGGTGAACTGATTAGATTTTGGACAGAGTAGGAACATTTGGGGGGTACTTTACTGGTAATCATTTTTATATTTTATGAAATATATCCGTTATTTGCGTTTGGAGAAGAAAATTCTTCAAATAAAAGTTACTTAAAATAATATTATCTAAAATGGTCCGTATTCGAGAAATTTGACAAAATGTAAAAAAAATATTTTTTTATAAAAATTGTTCAAATAAAAGTTGTTTGTAATATAATTCTCTATAATTTTTATTTCATACATAATTTCTCTAAAATGGACCTTATTCGAGATATTTGAGAAAATGTGTAAATTTCGAATTTTGAAGAAAACTCAAAAACGGATAAAGGAAAAAATATTAAATTTTAAACTTAAGTTTTATTTCGGCCTGAGGTGAAATGATTAGATTTTGGACGAAGGCAGAACATTTGGGGGGGTACTTTATGGGAGGCCGTTTGTATATTTTATGGAATATATTTGTTATTGATGTTTGTAGAAGACAATTGTTCAGATAAAAATTACTTACAATATTATTATCTATAATTTTGGTTCTATACATTTTTTTTTTAAAATGGTCCGTATTCGAGAAATTTGACAAAATGTAATAAAATTCAAATTTTTAGGAAAATTGTTTAAATAAAAGTTATTTGTGATATCGATCTCTATAATTTTTGTTTTTTATATGATTTTTCTAAAATGGACCATATTGGAAAAATTTAAGGAAAAGTGCTAAATTTAAATTTTTCAGTATTTTCGTTTTCAATATCTATAGAAAAATATTTTGAGTTAGATGTATGTGGAAAATGTATATATTTAGTTTATCCTCTAAACATTTATAGAGGTGCTGCAATAGGTTATACAAAATAACCGGAAAAAGCCTATAATAACTAGATAGGAAAGTCATGTGTTGGACACATCAGATTTTTGGTTGAATTTCGAAGCGCCAAAGCCTACTTCTTGTAAATGCAAAATATTTTAAATGAAATTCTATAATGAAAAATTGATCTTTTTTTTAACTTAATGATCTTGAAATAAATGTTTGTTTTTATTATTGAATTAATGACTGATCTTTTCACCTCTGAGTTACATGTAGGTTTACAATAGCCCTATAGTTTAATCAAGTTGTTACTTTTAACTTTATTCAGAGGTGAAAAGACTGGCCATAAATAACATTATTTTTTGTAAGTTCCTTACATTTGTATCATTCATTTTCGTCATAAGATAATTTATCTATAGATTTGAGATAAGTATTGAATCCATTTTTTCCAGTTAAATTTATAGTATATAGTATTTAAAATATATTTAATTATAATATGTTCTGCACCAAATCAATCTTCAATATATTTACAAATTTATCTTTTATTTTCATTGTTTTAATTATTTCTTAAGAATTATTTATCATTCTGATACTATTGTTTAATTGATACAGCGTGACAATGGATACCACTGATATAACTATTGGTTAAAGAACAATCACAGCTTAGTTTTGCAATTAAACTAATATCTTTTTAGAAACAATTAGGTTATTTGATTTCTTCTGTTTACACTAATTACTTAATGGCGCTGTTAAGAATCATGCAGGGATCTCAAAACCCTTAAGACATATTAATTTTTTCAGATTGAAAAGTATGGTATAAATTCCGTGGACGTTAAAGAAATACTATTAGAAATGAGAAAATATAGGATGGGTTTGATACAGACAGCTGAACAACTAAGATTTTCATATCAAGCAATTATTGAAGGAACTAAACCCAATGCAAATACAGATGGAAAAGGAGTAAGTCAAAATAACAATAATATATTATTGTTTTTAACAAGTCCAACATTTTTAAAGACTGATTTTAGGAAAAGTCTGGTGTTTACATTTTTATTGCAGTTTTTGTTTCTACAAATTTTGTGTATACATAAAAAATCATAATTTTTATTACTGGTAAAAATATACCCACTAATTTCAGAATGTAATATAACCAATATATTACTGCTACCTTGTCCCAACCCAAGAATTAGAAGTAATTCCCAATCCTACCCTTTCCCTTTAAGGTAACCCTAATTTATTTAGTTATTACTTGATTTCATTATTTAATAAAGTACTTAGTTTTTGATAAAAAATTATATCTGCAGGACAATTATACATTAGACATTTCTCAGTATTACAAATAGACTACTCTAATGGAAAATAATCAATTTTAGTATCAATCAGAAATTTTGATTATAAATCATTGTTCTTAATGGTCACAAATCCTTTAAAAAGTTAATAAAAGAATGGAAAATCAAACATGGTCCTGAAAGACCTGAGTCTAAAAGTTTGTGCAAATATAAAAATAGTCCCTTTTTAGATAATCAAACAATCCAAATTATAACCCTTTAATTATAACTTTTAATTTAAAAATAAACAACTTAACCTGTTCTCAATTTTTTACCTTTTAAATTGAGGGTCTCTGCACAGTTCAGACTAATGCTGCCTATTGAATATGTAAGCATTCGCATCCGCCAATTCATCAGAGAATCGACTTTTGAATCGCCCTGTTTATTCATTTATTTCTCAATATAAAATATACAAATCTGTTTTAGGAAAATCATATTAATAATGTATCACATAGTGTAGAAGAAAATTCTGAATCGGAAGAAGATGAACCACCACCATTGCCTCCTCCTAGATTAGACAGTCTTCAAAGACCAAACGGGACATCTCTTGATAGGCCTCTTCCACTTATTCCTAATAGTACTTCTGATCACGATTGGAATTATCAAAATAAAGACGGTGACGAAGAGGTAACAAAATATTCATTCATCATAAATTATTATAAAAGTATAATATTCATTAAATATGAGTTGTGGTGGGATAAATAGAAATAAAGAAAACTCAAAACAAATGCTAATAAAAAATATAGTAATAATTGTCATATAAATAATTATTGTAGTGATTTAAATTTATTAAATGTATATTAAATCATAAAGTGACCCTAAATAATAATAATGTCCTTCTACTTATTTTTTCACGAATTTTACCATATTGTTGATAGTTCCTCAAGTATTTCCTCACTGTAACTAAAAGTATCTGCATTATCCTTTATATCTTCATTAAAAGTAATTTTTTTTTACTTTTCTTTATATTAATTTTTAAAGTCTATTCGCTTAATCCATATCTTCAGCAAAGTTTGTGTTTTTGTGATGATACAGACTAGAAGAGGATTGTTGTCTTCCTAAGAAGTAAAAAATATGATATTGTAAAGAAAATCACATCTTGTACATAAGAGTGGGTTTAATTGATTTTTTTACAACTACTTTCTTCTTTATACATTTTTCTTGTGATATTATTTCATGTGTGTAAACGTCTTTGAAATAAACCTAAATTTCTATTAATAGGATTTTATCAATCTGTTTGTTTATTGTTTGATTTAATAAATATTCTATAATCTAATTTCAGAGAAATCTCATGATACTTAAAAATATCGGAACTTTATTATTTTAAATAAATGCTTTTATCTTGATCATTTCTTCTGTCTTTTATATTATATAAAAAAATGAATGAATAACAAAATAATATAAATATAAACAAAATTTATTTTTGTGTGTATCTATTCCATTTTTTCTGTTTTGATTATTTGTTACATATTTTTGTGCGAAAGATTTTAGGGGGTGATTGCAGGAGTTATTTTGTTAAAAAATTTCGGCGGGAAAAAGTCAGTGGCTCACCATTTTTTTTTATTAAAAAAAGTAGTGACATTCTCGTACGAACGCCACTAGTGCAAGTAGAAATATTCGCACCACTTTAAAAATGCACATTTATCCCTCTAAAGCATTTTATAAATTTCGAATCAATTTCTTTTAAACGCTTTAAAATAAAAATAAATAAAAAAATATAATTTAAACACTCTCGGAAACGAAGCATATTTCGACACGTGTATAGAAATTTTTTTAACAAAATATCTTCGGCACTTCCTAAAATCTTTGGCTCTTATTTACAAACTTGTTCCATGTGGGACAATTTTTTCATCACTAGCCCACGTTTTAATTGTAGCTACCCATAACTGGAACAAATTCCATCTTCATTCGAGAAACTCGTATTGTGTATGGCACTTCATATTAGCAAATCTTTTGCCCTGTCATGACTGAAATCTTGTGTATCAGAGAAATATTCTTCTTTTGGACTACCACAAAGATCTGTGCAAGGCTTAGATTTGGCCTCAATACTATTCAAATTGCATACCAACGACCTACTTTCAATTAATTATAAACCCAACCCATAGATTTTACAGATGATAGTATTATTTACTCTGCTTGTAAGTCTTCAGTGCACAGAACCAATATCTTGCAGTGAGACACCACAAGATTAGTCATTACTTCTAGTGATAATCGTGATGTCACTATCCCAAGACCTGATTTGGCATTATGAGTGCAATTGCAGTTAGTAAAAAATGGTAATCTACTTTAATGCTTAAATTAGACCTATTGTTGAATAAAGTGAACTGCTGCATTAACAACACTATTCTTGATGCCATCCCCAAATACACATCTCCCAATATCTCTCTTCTTTTATCCTTCAGTGTGCACTTGTTCTATAGATTCAATAATACCTGCCACTAGCAAAACTAATTCAAGTGATAAAATTCACACCCTTATTCTTCTATCAGATTTAAAATCTATAGATTTGGATTATAATTTGATCTTTTCTATGTGCCAACACTTGCCCGGGTAGGTTTCACTCTTTTTGATCTAGAACCGGAAAAAACACTTCAGGAAAACTTGGTAGGGAACCTAGTAAAACTAACCAAATTCACAGGTCTATTCAAAGATAGTACCTGGATAAGGGGAAAGCAGGGGAATACAGACCCAAGAAGTTGGAGTGTTCTGGACTGAATTAGGTGAGACTTGTTTCAAGTTGATAGACTATAATGTGCTCTGCAGATTCGTCTTCCATGATGTTAAATCAACAGTCCAATGTTTGTTGCTTAATAAAACGATCTAAGCGTTTATAAAAGGTTTGGGTATAAATGCATTAGAATGAGTTAGTCCTGGGGTATATCGCAGTATATGAGTGAGTATTACACTGTCTGTCCAGGTTAGAGATAGAGATAATTCCTTTGGCAGTGTTCTTAGTAGCGCCAAGGAATGGTTCTGGTCCTATGATATCAGATTCAGTTCCTCTTTTGCCAAGCGCATCAGCTATTTCATTGTCCTACATCCACACTGCTCTATCCAGGAACGCCGATCAAAATAACTTTGTTCTGAGCTTTGAATCAACTCGGTTAGAGCTTAGATCTTTTAAGGGCTGTCAACACTTGGCTTCTTACCAGACTTAAGAATTCGGTTTTTCAACAATTTTAAACTTGAAAAACGGTACCCTTGCTAAATAGGTCTCCATGAAACATAGCATTTAGGTTTCACCCCAAACTTAAATTCGTAAATTAAAAAAATATATCTTTACAGAATTACATTCCAAGTGGGCCTTTGCCAGTAGTGCCAGCAGATGAAGAACTAAGTGAAGAAGACGAACTTGAAGAGGAAGATGATGAAGATGCTAGATCAGAAAGTCCTGTATCAGATCAGTCAGATTTGACGAATTCGAAACCAAGGTGGGTTTTCCTTCTTACTAACTATAGGATGTATCAAAGAGCTTATGAAGAAAATTAGTTGATTTATAAAATTTTGTTTCAGTTCACCACCAAATGAATTGAGACAACGAAATAGACAAGAAAGGAAAGAAAAATTGGAAGCGCAAGTTAGAGATATGAAACGTCGCCAACAAGTGAATGAGCAGTGGACACAATTGAAGAGGTCTTTATACTTACCTTTAGTTATAGGAGGCACCCTCCTTTTAGGAGGGGGTCTCATTGCTTACGTTTATTTCAAAGATTGAACAAAATAATTAACGCACTTTTTTATATTTATTATTTACCAGCTGATTTCATTTGTTAAGTTTAAAATAGGGGTTATCGCATTTGTTTTTTCTTGTTTTTATTTTTTGCCCTCTTATAGGCAATACTGTGAAACCTTAATTACTTAATATTAAAATTAAAACTTGCACAGATCCTGCAGTTTGTTGTGATAAAGTAAAATTCTAAAAGTACTGCCTTCTAAAGCAATAAAAAACGATATATTTTTTATCGATTATATGGAATGGCGCTAATGGGATTTATCATATTTTGTAAATATTTACAATTGAAAAATAAAGTTTAATTTTCTTAACAGTTTATATTTGCCAATTTTAAAAATGTTTTCGGCACATTTTAAATTAAAATACGAACCTAAAAAAGTATTTGCCTGTTTGAACAAGTTTTTAAATATTTTTTTGATATTGCTGGAGTTTGTGCAATATTCTTTTGCTTTTTTTAGTAGGTAGCAAAAGGTTGCTAGTTTTCCACCATATTTTCTAAATGAGCTTAAGGTATTTTAATTGTCTGTTTAAAAATTGCATTAATCATTCATTGACTTACATCTAGTTCGATTATTTAGTTTAGCATTTATAAAATTGTTTTCTATATTAAAATATCCTATCATGGTGTTTCTTAGTAATATTTACTAATATTTTTTTCTTAGAAACTTTGAATTTACTAAACGTTATTTATATAATTAAAAATCATTGTTTATTGTTTAATAGTTATATTTATTGGTGGTCATCAATATTTCAAACAATTTGACATTGAAATTTTAATGGATTCTTCCCGGATTTCACTCAAATTTTCACAATTTATTATATCAGTTCCCTTCATTAAAAAAAAATATAATACAAAAATTTTAATATTAGATAATAATATATTTTACAGGATGTTGGATGTTTCATTAATAATCTGAATATAAATCATCCGAATGTTGATGATTTTGGAAATAAAAGGCCCTAATAGTTCAAATTTTCCTTTTTGTCATTACTATGAAAATTCTTAGCTCATTGATTTAAAAATTGGCAACTTTATGGTTTTTGGTGCAAAAAAGAATATTCTATTTTTCACTTTGCTAAAAAAGGGCGCTACTTGTAACATGTTTCTGAGATAATTATGGTCATAGTTTTTACCTTCTACATCCAAGTGAATTGTTCACACTTCATACAACTCCTTAGTTTTGTTTTTCTCTAGAGTATTACAATTTATTTTCTTAACAGTACTTAATTACTCTTTTGCTCTAGCTTTTTTTTTCTTCAAGAGCAACAGTTTACATGGGACAATTATAATCTTTTTTGAAAATTTTATATATATTTATAAAAGTTTAAAAACTATAACATAATTTAGTCGTAAACAAAAACCCACTCAAAAATAATAAATATATCTACTTTCATTTGTCATCAGAACAGTAACTACATCATCACTAGTTTAGGGTATTTTTGAGATTTCGGAGATATTTCCATACTTCTATACAGCATCTTGTAACAAGATGAGTTGAATATGTAGAGATTTTTAAGGTTTGGTTGTTGGAGCAAAAAATTCAACAAAACTGTGATGACATTTCTTATTTATACTTTTTCCGGAATTTCATTGTATGATTGTTATATTTAGGCGTAATAAAATCTATAGGATTTTTATAGGCCGTCATATACCTAGTGATTGATTTAGGTGCCATGTTTTCGCATACAAGTACATCGATTTTGAGTAGAATGACAGGAAATTTACGAGTGGCTCCTGGGGATAACATCTGGAAGATTCGATTTTTCTTAACGGAAATTAAAGGGTATTTGTTGCCCATATTTTTACGCAGGCCGTGTTCACTAAATGATTAACTAATAGAACTAGGCTTCGGAAAATCAAAGGCTTTAATGTTGCAAGTGGCTAAAGGGTTAAAATAAGAGCGTAATCTTGTAAGGAAAAATAGATATTTTTTTTGGAGCTATTAACATAAAATACATAAAATTTACTCTAACCTGGAAACAAAATTATTAAAATGTCAAGTATTTTTAAAGATTTTGGGAAAGTTGTTAAACTTTTAAATTTAAATTCCCCAGGCTTATCGAATATTTAACTGCATACGAGTTTGTGAATTTTAATTTATTCCATTGGCACTTAATTACTAACTTATAAAAATTATATACCAGGTATAGCTAGAAAAAACTGAATTAGTGCCGAATGTAATTTTAACTTTTAACACTGTGTATTTCCTAAACCATCAACCTTATTTGACCTGTAGTAATATCTCCAGTTAACAGGATTTTCCCTTGTTAATGTTATGTGTCCACAGATTAGGTCAAATGGGCTAAAAGTTGCCTATAATCAATTAAAAAAATCCTAATCAATTTTTTAAGTACTTGTAGTGTCAAAAATTGGATATTGTTCTGTTCACACCTTATTGCCATCCTCAATAGGCAACTGTTATCCCATTTAACCTAATTAATTTGGTTCTTTCACAATCAGTGAATTACATCCGATCAGCGCAATAAAGTTTATTTTTGCCAGAAAAGATTTAAAGATTTTTTTCAATATTTTTACTAAATATTAGAATACTTAGTTTGAATTTACATCAAAGTTGTTATACTCTCGTGACTTGTTCATGAAAAATGAATTCGTCAACTGTGATTAGGTATGTCCGGGTTCTTCAAAAATACATTGAGAACTATCAGAGGACTAGTTGACCAAATGACCAGTGGACACTTTAATAGATGTACACGACAAATAATTTGGAATTCAACTGTTCCACTGGTTCTCGAACGGTTTGAATCAAGTTACAAAGAAACCCATTGAGAACTGGAATCGACGGTTCCGTTTGAACCAAAAACATATTTTATATTAACTGAGATACCTTATGCATTTTTATGCATCAATATCTTGGAGAAGAAACCTTTTCCATGATTGAGTATTTCTGATGACAGTTTTGGGTATTTGGAGGAATTGGACATTTTTAGATACTTTTGATAAACCTATTTAACCTTTGATACTATTATAGGTTTAATTAATCACTATTTTATTAAGTTCGACTATTTTTGTAACTTATGAACAACGAAAATATTAAGTTACATTTGTTTTTTGACGATGTCTTCAACAATTTATTAAATTCACATTGTCATTGGTCATGTTTTTCAATAATCAAATAGAAACTTGTTTACAATTCGCTATAATAGCTGCTTTAATTCAATTGTCAAGTTGCTTGGTATGCTTAGTCAGACCAAGACGTACAAAATTTTGCGACTGTTTTAACTGGGTATGTTAGATCAACAGAGTCGCTTTCTAGGTAGACGTTTTTGGCCTCTCCGACTGCTCACTTAAGTAGCTTTAATCTTTTTTTTACTACGACACTTTAGATGACATGCCTCTTGGTGTTTTACGACGACTACATCTTCCTAATATTTACCGGTATGTGTAAAAATTGACGTAATATTTGTTAAAATCTAAGATAAATAACGGCGACAAACATTAATGAGAAGTTGAGTAAGAAATTCGGGAAGAATCATGTTGAAAATTGTATTATTTGAAATGATCTAATTTGCCCTGAAGAGGGCAAAACTAAAATTATAAAAAAAATAAAATCGACTGAACGAGTGCTATGACTCCTTTTATATCTTGCAAAAATGTGCAAGAATTATTTTGTATATTCTATAATGTATCAGGTGATCACAAAATGTTTTTGGTAGCACTGGCAACTTTATCTATATTCGTTTTTTGTTAAAGGAAAAGAACATATCAGTAATTTCATGTTATTTATGTGGATTAATCGTTTTTAGTATTTATTTTTGCATTTAGTAAATTAGTATTTTTTCAATATCATTTCTATTTTCATGTTAAGCTTAAATTTAATGCAATTAAATTATTTATTATTTCTGACATAATTTTAAATTTCCGATTAAATAGATAAATCGAAATTAGATATTTAAAAATTTGTCGGAGCTAAGCTTAATATTGCATTTAAAATAATAAGTTTGGTTGAATTTAACCAAATTGAATTAATTTACTGTTTAACATAATTTCATTTTCATCGCTTTATTACTAATTTCTAGCAACTCATTTTTCATTTTAGTCTTTAATTATCACACTCAATACTAAAAAAGTACATCTTTTTTGAATAAAATGCGTTAATTTGTATTTTTTAATTTATACAGAGATACCACTTAAGAGTTTAAATAGTTTTTAGACAGTAACATTTGGTCTTTGGACCTTGGAACTTTGGCAATTTTTAAAGTCGTTAAAATGGAAAAATTTTATATTTCATCTCACACTTAACACATTAGCCATAAAAGATTTATAGTATTTTAAATTTATTTACCTATTTTTCAGAAATATTAACATTTTCAGTTAGCAACTTTCTACAGTGTAAAGCTTTTAAGCTCCTGGTGGTTTTCCCTGTTAATTTTTTTATTATAATTATTTCAAATATTTATCAAAGTTATTTTGTTGAATTTAATGGATGAAAAACATAACATAAAATGATGGGACGAGAGTAAATAAATTACAGAAATGATGATTGAAAAAATGTGATATGAGAAGTAACTTGACAAGTTTTTATACAATAATTACGAATTAACTTTAACGGTCTACTTTTTCTGATAATAATTTTTTTACGTAGATGCATCCTCAACGGTTCTCAAAATGATATGTTAACATTTTAATAAATTATAAATAATCGACATGTTTTTAAATACGCTGCTGGTGAGCCTGCTACATCAGACTTTTTGCCGAACATCAATGGACTCTGGTCCTACATATTACGTCGCTTCTGCGCCAATCTATTCTCGTACTGATATAGTGCCTGCGATTGGGGATACTATATTGTGCCACAAGTTATTGGGGTTGTTTCCCCTGCAGTATTAAGTGTAGTCGGCGCGGCTTAACTGTAGATCTCAAAACACCGAAATGAACTTGTTCATTTGTGGTTTCACTATGTACTTTGTACTACTTATTATTTAATTTATGCAAGAGTCTTGTAACTAATGCAATACTTTTTTTTTATAAAAAAATTGAGTAATAACGCAACAATCAATTAACCTGATCTTGTAACTTGTTGTTTATTTCATGTGAAATACTTCAAAAGTGTTGTCGGTGATTCCAAAAATCATTTTTACTAGTTAAATACTATTTTTTGCTACTATCTAATAATTATAAAAACGTGCAAACCAAATTATTTTATTTCGTTTGTGTTTTTAACAGTAGTAAAAGATATCCACATAAAGAGTAGAGAAAATATGTATGGAAGTTATTAATATAGAAAAATATGATATAGGATGACAAAATAAAAATATATAAGTAGGTATATCTACCGTTAATCTTATCAATTCCTTCTGAAAGAAACTATTTTCAATTGAAATAGTTTCATTATTTTTTTAATATTTGAAAGAGCTGATTTAAAAAAAACTTTCCCAAATGAGCAATGTTGGGACCTCTAATCAAAATAATGAACTTTTTCATAGATTCAAAGTTTAAAGTTGTCTAAAATCATGACATAATATAATTTGCAGCATGTTTAGTTAATCATATTATGGAGAATTTGATCCAATACGCGACGTTGACTAAAAAACATTCAAGTGATTTTCGAGAAACTTTGAGGTGCATCTAATGATAAATGACGAAAAAATTGGCAAAACGATCAAATCTTGTGATTAGTTAAAAGTGACAGATGAATTAAATGAAATTACTTCTTGTGGTAGGATGGAAGATAGGTTAAAGACTGAAAACACTTACTCCCTATTAAATACATTACAGTATTTGTCCTAATTTTAAATTATTTAATAACCCAAAAGGAATGTGGACATGATTCAGTGGTTGATAATTTCTGTTAAGTAAAAAAAAAGAATACGGAAAGATACAATTTTGCTAGAAACATTTTTCAAGTGATTCAATAATATGAAATTAAAAAGACAATATTTATGCCCGATACACTCAGTAGAAGGCGGTAATTTTTTTCAACATAATTTTTTGTTGATCTGAATTCAGAGTAAAATTTAACAGTATAACAATTTAAAATGTTTAATGTTTACAGAGTGTTTTGAGATAAAATTTCAAATTATTTTTATTTTTTAACTTTAATTTTTTTATTTAAAGCGCTAGGTATTTCGAGCAAAATTTTATTTTACTTTTGATACCAATTGAATATGTCCACAAAAGGAAACAAATATGCCGATTCAACGTAAATGTTAGTTTTATATGTGAAAATATAAATGGTTAAATTTGCAGATGAAAGAGTTCACATTAGTTTAAACGTTTACACAGACTAAAATTTTATATCAACACTTTTAGGAACTACAGGAAACTTACTATTTCTAGAAAAATTAAACTTATGTGAACTAAATAGCTAAATGTGATGGCGCTTTTAAGTGTAAGTAATTGTAAGAAAATTAAACAAAAAATAATTTTTATATCCACCCAGTCTGATATGCAGTAATATTGGTATTACTCTTCAGATTAATTGCAATTTTATATAATTAATACATTAAGATATGTTATTTTTGTACCTTTGAGTCTTTTTTAAACATTGTTTATTTATTTAATATTTGAAAACGACTTGTTATTGAAGTAATAAAAACTTAACGAAAGTTGTTGTTTTGATTAGCAGGTCTGTGTCGAATTTACAATTTAGAGTACCATCAATAATATTGAAATTGGAAATGGTCAAACAGGGTGTTGGTAATATGAAAAAAAAAAAAAAAAAAAAAAAAACAAAAAAAAACTAAGGAAGATTTTGGACACTTTTTTTACACTAATTTAACAAATCCGTTTTAAGTGCCTACACAATCTGCTATTGAAATTGCATTTTGACAATATTCAATGAAGTTTTTTGTTATTTATTCGAAAATATTGTGACAATCGGTTTATAGATTTTTTACTCGGCCGATTTAATAACTTTATTGTGATTATTTACTATTTTCTCTAGAACTTTTATGAATTATTCAATAAAAATATTTAAAAGTCATATAACAAATTGTTTAATATACCTAGGTTTCTCTTACAGGCCTAAAACATCACATCAAGACTGACATTTGAAATTTTTTTGGAGAAGACTGGACTTTGAGAAATTCAGGTTAGTTGAGGATAAATTTTGTGGTCTTACCTTTTAGTTTGAACTAGTCCAATTGTGTTAAGATCAAGGTTTTTCTTTTAGCTGGTATTAGTTCTAAGCTGTCCTGTGTTACTGTTAATAATAATAATTAGCAATGTCATTCGAATATAATTCATTTTCTATATCATGTTTGCATAATTAAAAATGTTTTACATTATTATTATATTAAAATTATTATCCATTTGTTATATCTCGAAATACTAATTCTTGAAAGTGTAGTTTCTGATTTAATATTAGTTACCATACTTTTAGTAAATGGATCATTCTCAAACCTTATACTACCAAATCTAAATGAACCGTTATATTGTGACGTCTTTTTTTCTAAACAACAAATTAAATGACAGTAGGACTAGGAATGCTGTCATAGTTGTCAAAACTTTAAATGTGGTTAGGTTTGTGTTTTGTTTATGTTAAATTTACCGAATTTATCTGAAATTATCCTATTGGAACACAAAAAAAATGAAATGTTGGAAAATTTATTAATAAATGTGAGTAGTAAACTATAACAATAAAAGCATGTTTTTATTGTGTTGAAAGAATTTTTAACAATGTTTGTACAAGAAAAACCATGTCTACATTATAATTGTGTTCTTTTCTTTTTGTTCGATTATTATTTATCTTATATAAATAAATAATAATCGAACAAAAAGAAAAGAACACAATTAAGATACGAAATAAAAAAATATTAGGCATTTGTTTATGACAGATGATAGTGACATCTGTCATCATTGTCTTGGTAAATTGTTTTGTGTAGAAACAAATACATATTACTAACTTTGTTTTAACGTCCCGACTATCACGGTCCATATGTATCTACTTTACAAAAAAAAGCTGTATTCAAGTCTAATTTCTTTAGGTATGTGAACATTTTATTTATTTTTTGTACTTAGCATATCGTTCAAGAAGTCGTAATCCGTAATACAAACTGAGAGCTAGGGGCTGCAAGGCAGGGTCCAATTACAATAAGAAGAACACTGCTACGTCATAACTATTATTTCGAATTTCTAATATATATCATTTATAACTATCAATAAATAAGGAATATGTGAGTTGTTTGGTTTAAAAATATTATTCCTACACTTTTATAATATTAACACGCCACTAAACCCCCGGTAGGCGGTGATAACCAACGAATTACCCGCCAATTGACGTAGCTGTGTTCTTATTGTACCTCTGACTGGAATTTTGTGAAGTGGTTGGCGAGACCACCAGGAAGTGTCGTCTGTAAGGATTCAGTTTAAAACCCCTGCAAATGAGACGTCAGACAACGAGTTGTAAAAAATATCGACTAAAAAAACGATCATACCTTCGGCTAAAAATTTACATATCACCTCTTTGAAGTTCAAATATGAAGTATGCAAGTCGTCAGATGGCTAGGCCACTGCTAATGAACTGTCAGATAAATTCGCGATCGTGTTCAATTCCCGATGAAAAATTAAATTTTTTTTATTTTGGAAAAATTAGAAAATTTAAAAAATAAGTGTTATTTATATTGTTAATAATTATTATAATAAAATGTATTTGAAATAAATAAAGATTGCTTTCATCGGGAACTGAACCGCGAAATGCAAATTTGACAGCATGTTGAATGCTTAACTAACTGAGCTATCGAGACATGTCGAGTAAGTTATCGAATCAAATGTATGTATTTTAAATTACTACAAAAAAAACAAATTTGAGGTCGTCTCACAGTCCTTTAGCAGTGGTCTAGCCATCTGACGATTTGCATACCTCATCTGTGACCTTCAAAGAGGTGATATATAAATTTTCAGCCGGAGGTACAATCGTTTTTTTTTAGCCGATATTTTATGTAACTTTGATCTGTCTGACGTCTGGTTTGGAGGTGTTTTAAACTAAATCCTTGCAAATGATACTTTCTGATGGTCCCGCTAAAAACTTCATAAAATTCCAGCCGGAGGTACGATCGTACCTCCTTGCGGCCCTAGCTCTTAGATTTAAGTTAAAACAAAGTTGATAACGTAATTTTTCAAACAAAACCATTTACTCAGAAGAGCTGAATATCGGAACACGCCCAAAACGGATAAATTTTTGACAATGAAAGGAGTCGCAATGGTTACTTTGTTTTGTTTGGAATCAGTGCTCACAATATCAAGGTCTAAAGTGAATATTGATGTTAAGGTTGGCGTTCGCCCATAGAAGTCTGGCATATATGGGCGGTTGTCTTTAAACGAAGCTTTCGGGAAAAATATACTTCCTGGCATTAATTTTAATATTGAATACAGTTCATGTAGTGTGCCAAGGGGTTGTAAAGACTTCTTAAGAAACGGAGTTGTTCTAAAGTACTGAAAAAAATTACTTTGACTTTTAGAATATGAAACACATATAATCGCATTGACTTATCTAGAAATTGTCTTTAACTAAACATATTTACTTGTTGTCTTTCCGTTACAATCCGTACAACCAACACATAAAAATAATGAAACAGTGTCACACATCAAAATATTGTTTAATTTTTTTGAAAATTTGGTTTAAAATTATATAGATTTTTTTATGAAAATACAATTATATATATCACGTGACACAGCGGAAAGTTATAAAGTTAAAATCATTTTTAGGTATTTTCTTTTAACGATTTTGTAAAAAAAATGCGAAATTATCCAAACAGTTTTCGAGATATGACCAGACGCCGCCCTTAAGCAATTAAAAATATATATTTTCTATTTGTTGTTCCTACGGAAACTCCACTTTTAAGATTACGTTTTTGAAAGATTAAATTTGGTGAATATACTGGATGATCGACAAGCAGAACAAAGGATTTATTCATTTTTTAATGAATCTATAATTTTTAAATCAATTGTTTTAGCTTTCAGTAAAAAATGTTAACTTGTATATACGAGTACAACATTTTAAAGTAATTTTAGGATTTGTTAAAAATAATGAAGACTGATAGTAATCCCCTATTTTTTTTTTCAATCCTATATAAAGGACTTAATTAGAATTTGCATGAAAATAGTTGCAAAAAATTGTTGAGTCTAGGCAAAATAATGTGTATCATGTATTAAAAATATTTAAAATAATTTATTATTTCTTTATCAGTTTAACATATTTTAAAAAATTGTATGATTATTCAATTAAATTTGTATAAAAAAATAATACTGTCTTCCAGTACAAGTTTGGATAAACATGGGTAATTTTTTATTACATTTTTTATAAATCATGTTCATTAACAAAATGGATCATATTATTAATATATTATACAGGGGATTTCACAAGGATTGGTCAATATTTTAATTATAGGTTCAGGATCTCAAAATATTACTGGGTCAAATTTTTTCTATTACTGAGATACAATAAAGTCATATGAAGCTATTAAGTATTAAGTGTTTTTATTAAAAAACAAATATTTTCTCGCTTTTTCGCGGATTGCAAAGCCTGTTGTGTTGAATTATTGTCTTGTATATTCGATAAATTTTTAAATGCAAATGTTTTTAAATGGCTTGAATTTATGTTATTAAAACAAGTATATATTTTTTATAAATTAACAATAATGAAATTATGACTTATCATCCTAACTTTCAAGTCAATACTTAAAAAATCAAAATATAAAAAAAATAACTTTGACATTATCTCAGTAGTAGATAACATTTGACCCAGTGTTATTTAGAAAAATATTAATATTTAGAACATATTAAAATATTGGCAATTTTTTAGAAACTCCCTGTATAATGCGTTTTGGTATTTCAAATCCAGATAATTTTCTTACTAATGTGATATAATGAGGCATTTGTTAATTTCCAAATCTCGCAATTATTTTAGAAACTTTTAATCATCAAAGTAGTTATGTATCCTGTTCTAATTTTTCAAAAACTTAGGTAATTGTTAACGTATTGTGATTTTTTCCTTGTTGTCTACATGTCTAAATATTAAATTAATAGTTTTGTAAAAAAAATTGTTGGTTATATACATTACATTACGAACCAAAAAATACAATCTATTAATGGTAATTTTTAGTAAGCAATTATTGAGTTACGATATTGTATAAAAAAATTCACCAGAATCAAGATTTTATACTAGGAAACTGGGTTTCATTAAATCTATATTTATAATAGTTTTTAAAATAGATCTTTTTAATACGAATAAAAAGTAACTCACTAGTTCGTTTTTTTTTTAAATCATCTGTAGAAAATAGAAATTGATTTTTCGGTAGATATCAGTAGACGCGAATTAATCTCGCAGTAAAAAATTATTATAAACTAATATTATTTACAGACGATTATAGTTGAATCCGGAAAAAATAGGCAGTAACGGAATATTGTAAGAAGAAGTAGTCTGACAGAGTTTCATTGTATTCAATCTTATAAATTAAATAATCATGGAATGGAAGTATAAATGTATAATATTATAAATCATAATGAAAATCTACATAAATTTAAAATAATCAACTCCTGGCAACCGAGATTGTCAGGTAGTTATAGGCAAGGTGAGTTTATTCTTTGCCTTTCACTAAAACTGCCACATAATGTAAAGTTACTAATTTGATTATGGGAATGTTTGCCTTCTAAATGTGGCGCAATGACAGCATTCTTTACACATTCCATTACTGCCAATATGTGTATGTTTTTATATTTTGACATAATTTCCAGACTTCCAAAGTCATTTAAATTCGTTTTGCATTGCAGTTAAACTGCAAAGATATTTTTGCACAAAGCTCTCTTCACGCTTGAGGTAAATAGCCGTTGTACGTATATTTATTAACGGCGCACATAGGGGTATTTGAACGATTTATATCGGTTCTAAAGGGTATTAATAAATAAAACAAAGGTTTTAATGTTTAATTAACCTATATTTATTAATAAAAAATATAGATATACAATTTTATCTAACATTATTCGTATAAATTTTCATCTTCGCTTTCTGAAGAATTACCAGCTTCAAGCGACTTTGCAGACATTAGTAAATTAATTGTTTCTGGCAAAAATACTTCATTGTTCTTCTTTTAACGTTCCTCATGCTACTTAACAGGGGGTCTCAACTTAGAAGCAGGCGATTAAAAATACCCCTGTTACAATTTTCTCTTGAGAAATTTCGCGCGAAGTCTTGGCGGTATGAGCGGAAATGCTTATTACGTGCATCCTCTGCTTCTTCAGACAGCTGCAACAATACAGTTTTTATTATAACTGCACCATGAATAAGTATTTTGTGCATCGTTGGTGTCATTGGGTGCCAAGGGTACAGCTGCACATATAAGCGAGCAGCATATAATGCGTGTTTGTCATATTTTTCTGGTTTAAGTATATGT